GTGGGGTGGTCTCCAGGTCAGCCCTGTTCTCTGCTCTACAGTGATGCCTGGACAGGCGGCAGGCACGTCCAGCATTCAGACACCACCCATTTGGATTCTGATATCGCCCCTTGTCTTGATCTCACACTGAGCGCGCACCACACCTGGTTTAACCTGGGTGGGGCTTGGCCAGGGATCTTGTGTTGTGTCCAGTCTCTTATTGTGGTAAGAAGCTGAGGAAAACCCGTTGGACAACATTTCCCCGTGCCCTGGAGCTAGGAGTCCCTATTTCTTGAGCCCCGTTTACTCTTGATTGTGGGTTATGAGAAATGACTGGAAATCCCCTTTCCACACTTTTTCCCATCATGTTTTCAAATCATATTGTCGCCTTTTAAAAAAGATTTATTTGTTCACGCACACGAGAACTGGGGTACAGGCCAGAGGTGCCGGGGTGAGAGGACGCCCCAGGGCAGAGTAGGGAGTGGAACAGGTGCATGGACTGAAGCCCACTGCTGAGGGGGCGGCGGGGAGACAGGAGGGGTCTGCTCCGCCCTGGGGTCCCTCCCTGGCCAGGGGTCATGCCTCCGTGGCGGGTGATAGCTTTCTGGTGCTGTGCTTTACCCCTGTGTCGCCAGGGAGGACACATTTTCTCTTTTTAGAAGCAGGCATGGAGAAGACCCGGCAGGATGAGATCGCAGCCATTCTGCGGGAGAGGATCATGGTGCTGGATGGAGGGATGGGCACCATGGTCCAGAGACTCAGGCTGCGTGAGGAAGACTTCCGGGGTGAGGAATTCAAAGACCACGCCAGGCCACTGAAAGGCAACAACGACATTTTAAGTATAACGCGGCCTGATGTGATCTACCAAATCCATAAGGTAAGACGCACCCGCAGGTCTTAGGCTTTTGCCCTGTATGCTGCACCATCACGCTCCTCTGCGCTGGAGGGTCCAGAGAAGGAGAGGGGCTGTCGGGCATTGGCTGCACAGCAGCGAAGCACCAGGCTTTGCGCTGAGCGTTAGAGAAGGAGAGAGGAAGGTAGTTTGCTGCCTGGGAGCATTTAACCTCCAGTGGAGACCACAGATTCCCGCACAAAGCACTGATTTCCAATCCACCATCATCCAGACACAGAAATCTTAATTTTAGTGTGTCGGTGCCTGACGGTGTGCTTTCGTGGCTGCGAGGCCCGCAGGCGTCCGCTCCAGACCCGCTGTCGATACACACGTTGCCAGCTGCGCGTGATGACGGGCTGAGGCGCGGGTGAGCGGCCGTGGCCCTCCCTGGTGTTTGAAGACTTGTTGATACACACAGAGCTGGGGTACAGAGGCACGGGGGGAGAGGACTCCCCAGAGACAGAGTGGGAGCAGAGCAGGAAGATGGACTGAAGCCCACTGCCGAGGGAGCAGCAGGGAGAGAGGAGGGGGCTGCTGCGCCCTGGGGCCCCTCCCTGGCCGGGGGTCGAAATCAGACGCAGCGATGCTCGTGTGGTAGCACTGAGCCTCACGCCCTGCGCCGCCAGGAAGGCCCGGTAAGCTGTTCCTTTAAAACCAAACCCATAGGGAAGGATACATTCCCTTTTGTTCTTTATGCCAAATTTCTGTTTTTATGCAGGAATATCCAGTTATTAGTCTGCGTGTCTTTCCAGCTCATTTTGTTACGCCTTTATGTGTGTGTGCCTTTATGTGTGTGTGCTTTTACATCCACCCTCCACCTGTGGGCCGTGCACCCACCCTCCCACCATCTAGACCCTGCTTGACTTGCATCCGCGGGGTTTGCCCCAGTAAACCAGGGTAACCGGGAATATTCTAAGTTGAAAGTGCATTTAACAGACCTCACCTACGCAGCAACCGTACCGTAGCCTACTAGACACGCTCAGAATAACTCACTAGACTGCATTTGGGTGAAATCACCTCACATAGCCTATTTTACCATAAAACAGTGAATAACTCAGGCAGTTTTATTAAGTACTGTACTGAAAGTGAAAAGCAGAATGCTCGTATGGAGCCTAGTACCGGTTTCACCTGAGAACACAAAGGTCCGGCTTTCACACTGGTGCGGTTGAGCCATTCTATGGGCCTTAAAGATGTGTGAGACACTCTTAGGAGTGTTTGCGTCTGTCTTAAACGTACGCTGTCATACTTTGCACGAGGTATCTCCAAGTCATATATGTGGGTAAACCACAGGTTTTTTCTGGCGATCAAACAGCACGTGCTGAACTGAGCATCTACCTTAGGCAGTTATTTCCCTGTTGATGGGATAGTTAGGCAGCTTTTGACTTACTTTAAATGTACAATATTACACTCTGTAAGTTGTCCCATCTGCCATGGAGGGCTTAGGTTTACTGTTAGAAAATCAAGGGAGTTGAGAGATTCCAGAATGTTCATTGAATGAAATTAGGATGGTGTCTATTTTATGAGGAAGAAACGTTTCAACAAGAACAGGATGCACCACGGTCTCAAGGTTCTAGTGAGGACGTGGAGCTGTTCTGTAGGGACAGGAAATGTGGCCGGAGCACTGGCCAGGACTGAGGTCTGAGGGACTGAGCAGTTCCTGGGGGTCTGCTGGGGGCTGTCCTGCTCCACACGCAACAGCCAGCCTGAGTAGTTGGCCCTGAGACTCCCACCCAGGAGCCGCACTCAGCTCAGAGGACCTGACTCCATTTGCAGTCAGTGTGCAGCTTGTCTGAGCTCACTTTCTTTGCTGTTTATGTACACACAACACCTGCTGTGAAATCCTCGCACCTTTCTGCATCTCTAGGTAGCGCCAGGAGGTATTTGGTGATGGGGTGGAAGTACGGCCGCGGGGCCAGGATCCGGCCTCATGCTGGCGTGCTCTGTCGCTGCAGGACTACTTGCTGGCCGGGGCCGACATCATTGAAACAAACACGTTCAGCAGCACTGGCATTGCCCAAGCTGACTACGGCCTGGAGCACCTGGTAAGAGCTTGGTTTCCTGCTGCCGAGAGCCCCGTGTGCACCTGCCGTGTTGGGATTGGGAGAGGTCAAAGCTGCAGGGTCGGCCTCGCCTGACCATCTGTGTGTGGTCAGTCAGGGAAAAGGGTTTGAATTTCTCCTGCAATCATTCATTTTCCATCTGCCTGCTCTTGGGGGCAGGGAATAACCCCCCAAGTTGGACGAGGATGCTGTGGCTGTCAGAAAGAGCAGTGATTGCTCTGCGCAGCTTTGTGAGGCCTTTCTAAGTATGGGGCAGCAGGTTTGATTTCCTTTGATTTTAATTGTTGCAAAATTCATGTAACATAAAAGTTGCGACCTTCGTTGTCCCATCCAGTGGCATTAAGGACAGGCACTCTGTTGTGCAACCATTATCATCATCTATTCATAGAATTTTCATCTTGCAAAACTGAAACTCTGTGTCCATGAAACGCTAGCGCTGGCCCTTCCCGTGCCTCTGTCAGCTGCGTGCATCTGCCCACCCCAGGCGCCGTGCGTAAGTGGGCCGCGTGGTGCGAGCTCTCTGTGAGTGGTTCTCCACTGAGCGCGTAGCCTCACGTTCATTTGCGTTGTAGCCTGTGCCCGAATTTCCTTCCTTTTTCAGGTCGAAGCCCTGTGTGTGTGCATGTGTGTCCCATTTTCCAGGCACACACACACTTTGTTCGTGGAATTTTGACTATTTCTACCTTTTGCTAGTGAATGACCTTGGTATGAACACGGGTACAGACTGTGTGAGTGTGTACGCAGAAGCGGAATGCTGGATCAATGGTGATCCTGTCTTTCTTGAGACCCACCGCACTGTTTCCAAAGTGCCTGCACCATTTTCCATGGTCACAGCAGACTCTAGTTTTTCTCATTCTTGCCAGCACTTTTCTTCTTATGATTTTCCAGTAGTAGCCCCTTCACAGGGTGTGGGGAGGATTTGCTTTCTCTCCAGTTAACTGTGCTTCCACATCACAGCTTTTAAATGTTAATGATCCATGTAGAGGCTAAGGTTCCCGTTTCTGTGTGGGGTTTTCTAGATCTCTGTCTCTGTCTCCACGCAGCAGTCCCGATGGCCCAGGACTTACTCTCTCAAGTCTAGGTTACCCACTAGTCGGCAGTGTTCTCCAGGTATTGTCAGGCCTGACAGGTTGGCGAGTGGTGAGCCTCACAAGGGCCGTGCTCCCGTGGTCCGTGCAGACATGCACGACTCCGGAGGCGCTTGTAGAAGCGCCAGGATTCAGCCTAGGGGGTAGATTATTAAAGGAGTTATGAAAGTGAGATTTGCTCTGCTTCACACTTCAGTTTTAATTTCAGTGTTTTCCCCAGGAGAGTATGTGAGACGGTGTGGGGAGCGTTTCAAGTTGAACACTGCTGTGAGGCGTCTTTGCCAAGAGCCTATTAAGCTTAGGACACGGTGAGAGCACGTGCCTGTTGGGTTATCGAGGACACATGAAATGGTATTGCGTTTAGCTACCGTGCTATTACTTTAGGGCAGGAGTTGGCAAACTTGTTCTGTAAAGTACCCAAGAGTAAGTACTTCAGACTTCATAGGCGCCTGTCTGTCACAAGTTTCAGCTCGTCACGGCGGTGGAAAGCACAGTAGACAGTGACGTGTGACGGAGCGAGCCTGACTGTGCCTCAGTGAAAGTCTATTTACAGAAGAAGCTAGAGCTGCCCTGGGAGCTGTAGTTTGCCAGCAACTGTTTTAGCATATTCTGGTTTCTTCATGACTGGAGATAAGGATCCGAGCACCTAGGAACTTAGAGTTCAAAGGGATCTTGACACTTGTAAACATGACCGCCAAACCCCATGCTGTGAAAGGCTCAGGTCTGTAAGCGGCTTTAAACTTCAAGCAGCAACGTGTGTTTGGGCAGGCTTATGTTTTCATTTCCTAGCGAGAAAGGTCATGGTCCTTTACCGAAGCCTCAAGAGGTTAATGGTCTATAATAGTTCAGAACCAGTACCCCAGCCATTGTTTGGCGAGGGAAGCAGGGCCAGAGAGGCTGCCGAGGAGCTCTGTGGCCGGCCTGCAGGGCTTCTCTGGGCCTGCTCTCCACACCTGTGCTATTCTCTGATTCTCAGAAGATCTAACTGTCTGATTCTGTGATGACCACATGTCCAGTAGTGCTCCTTGGGGAGAATCTAGCAGAAGTTTCCAAAGCTGGGCCTCTGGCGGCCTGGGGCTGAGCCTACCGGGCCTTCTTGGCGAAGGTGTCGGAGACCTCTGCAGTCCTCGCTGAATGGTGCGGTGTTCAGGAGACCAGGGTCCCTATTTGCGTATGGGCAAGCTAACGACTGCGGTTGCGTGCAGGTCTACAGGATGAACAAGAGCGCTGCAGAAGTGGCCAGAAAAGCAGCCGAGGAGGTAACGCGCCAGACAGGTGAGGGCGCCTTTGTCCTTCTTTGACCTGCATGTCCCCGTGACACTCGGGGATGCCGCAGGTGTGCTTGCGTTCATTCCTGTCGTGGAGATCGACTGACTGAAACATTGCAGGTGCCGTATTGTGCTTACTTACAGGTTACTTCAGAGTTTTATAACCGGGCACCAGCCTCTCCTGAACTGCCCCTCTGCCTGGGCCCTGGGCTTAGGGCTTGCACGGCATTCACTCTGCTCGGGTTCTGGTCTACTTTTGTAGCCAGACTTATTGCTCCCCGGTAGACTTAGATTTCTCTCCCTTTGGAAGCACCTTGTCAGGTTATTAGGTAGTGGCCGACTGTTTTGGCTATTCAGGTATCATGCCTTTAGAGCTACTCCCATCCCTGCAATTGTCTTACTTAGGTAAAGGGATACTGTCTTTTGAGAATTTGCTACTTCACACCTCCTGTGTCCTTGACGCTCTGGGTAGGACACAAATGTGGCCTTAGGCTCTGTCTGGCTGGGACTTGGAAAGTGGCTCCCTGAAATAACTAAGCTCCTGGCTAGCTGCCAGTGAGAACACGTGAGTACCAGCTGGTCGGCTTTAAGAGAGGGAAAGGAATAGAAGAATTATATGGTGCCCTCAAGGTCTGGAAATGTGAAAGTATTGCCAGAGGAAAGAGGTAAAACAATTGTCAGGAAGACAGAAGCCAGCATACTAGTGGGACGGAAGAGTTTGCAGGAACTCTTTCTGCGAGATAAAGTTCAAGGCCGCAGCAGTGTGTAGACAGAACTGCAGGCCAGAGGCTGTCACACCAGCTAAGGTAGTGGAGATGAGGACATTCTTCTTTCACTCATTATGACTCAGCTCCGAGGATGATAAATACTGTTTGGGATCTGGGTTACCCACGAGTCGGCAGTGTTCTCCAGGTAAAACGTCCGGTCTGACCCAGGTTGGCGAGCGGTGAGCCTCACAAGGGCAGTGCTCTCGTGTGTGCAGACACACACAGCTCCGAGCGCCTAGATTCTAGCCTAGAGGGTAGATTATTGAAGAATTATTAAAGGAGTTAGTACAGTAAGGTTTGCTCTGCTTCACACTTTAGCTTCAGTGTTTGCCCCCTGAGTCTGTGAGACTGTGTGGGGAGCACTTGGGTTGAGCGCTACCGCGAGGTACCTCTGCAGAGATCTGTTAAGTTTAGGACCTTGAGCATTTTTTAAAATAGGGAGAGAGGTAATTTGTCCAAACACAGCTGGGTTGCTGGACAAAGGGAAGCAACTTGAGGCCAGTTATGTGGCCACGCAGAGTTTGTTTTTTAATGGGCTTGGTAGTGATAACACGTGCGCATCCCTCGTGGTGGCAGAGGGCAGCCCCCTGTCAGACGTGCAGTGGCAGTGAACTCTGTGACTCTCCCCTGACGTGGGGTGAAGATGATTAAAAGCCCCTTGTTTGTTCCAAGAGGGTAAGACTTTCAAGTTATGGGAAATAAGGGCAAGAACGTGTGTCTGCGATTTTTGGATTTCCCAGTTAGGGCCAGTAGACATGTTCAAAAAAGGAAGTGATGTGGAGATTTAATCCTCGTTTTTCTTTACCCGAAGGAATTAGGAGGTTTGTGGCCGGAGCTCTGGGTCCAACTAACAAGACGCTGTCCGTGTCCCCGTCCGTGGAAAGGCCGGATTTCAGGAACATCAGTGAGTGTCCGTCACACCTGGCAGCCGAGCTCGGCTGAGCGCCCTGCAGCCTGGATGTCTGCGGATCGTGTCGGTGACCGGAGCTGCTCGGGCTGTCCGGCTGACCGCCGCCCAGGATACGTCGATGCTGGGGTTGTCGCAGCGTGGGGAAACGGGCCCTCTGGGCGGGTGGAGGAGCCGCCGCCCCTTCCTGGGAAGCGCGGCCGCCGTCCAGCCTGTGTTGGTGTCAGGCATAACGGTCGGGCACAGTGGACGTGCTCGTGTTTCCTGTCGTCTTGGCACTGGGCTGCGTCTGCAGGACGGCGGGCGCTGCTGCGTCCTGGGGCGTCTTCATCTCCTGTTTTGCCCCTTCAAGGCTCCCCACAAAACTTGAACCTCGGTGTGGGGAACCCTGCATTTGAGACTGAAGTTGGCACAGGCAGCATCCCTCGCCGGAATAACTCGTGTCGCAGGGAGGGGCAGAGGCTGCGGCTTCTGGGGTGGCGAGCGCGTGTCCCTGGGGCACCCACATTGGCGTGAGAGCTGCGTAGACGCCCTCACACTGTGCTTCACGGGATGACGTGCTGCAAGATGGTGGGCGTGGAGCAGGGCTCCAGGGCCGCGCGCCTTTGCTGTCCTCCGTGGCAGGAGAGGCAGGAGAGCGAGGCGCCGTCCTGGCTCCCACCGCTATTCTAAGTTGCGTGTTGCGGCCCGCAGCGGGCCCAGACCTGCTCAGACGGCTCCGTGACTCATGTCCTGGGGTGCTTTCTGCTTGCAGCGTTCGACACGCTTGTCGAGGCCTACAAAGAGCAGGCCAGAGGCCTCCTGGACGGCGGGGTTGATGTCGTCCTTGTGGAGACCGTCTTTGATACGGCCAACGCCAAGGTGAGTCAGGGTGGGGGCTCCGGGCGGGCACTGCTGGCAAGTCTGGGAAGCCAGTGGCCACCTTTGACGGTGAAGAGAATTCTTCTGCCTGCTTTGTTCCGAAATGTCTTTAGTGAGGCCAGTACAGTGAGAACAAGTCCACAAGAGTCTCTTTGAACTAGTTACTTCTCTCAGGCTATACCAGGGCTCGTTGTCATATACCTGTCTACTGTACCTGAGTAAGTGCTCCGGTTGTGACCCACATCCGGGTGCAGAACCCACAAGGCCCTGGCAAAGAGTGGCCAGTGCGTGGTGCCCTGTGTCTGGGCACCCGGCTCGGCTCCCTGCGCAGCTACATCCTGTGAGCCGGTGGGGCAGTGGGGACAGGTGGTCCTGCTGCGTCTGTCTGTCTGGCCTGTGCCAGGGCCGGCTGCTGCCCCGCTGCCTTCCTGCTTTGCCATCACCTAGAGCTGAGGAAGAGCCGGCGGCTTCTTCTGGACTCTGCCCCATTCCCCAGAACTTTCCTGGCTGCACTGACATGTTCATTTTTCACGAGTCATTAGGATCGATTCATCTTGCTCTTTACAAAAGCGCTCTGACATGGGCGGTGAGCAGCGCTGGGGGGACCCTGCCCGCAGCAGGGTGCTCAGTAGTCACAGGTCGTGCTCTGACTTCGGAAAGTCGTGAAGGGAAATAGATACCTTTTAGAATCAAGAAATAGGACAAAGTGCAGCTGCGTACTGGAGCGCGACCTTCCCGTGGGCGGGTGGGTGGCAGGGCAGCGTGCCTCAAGGCTGGGGACGCTCGCCCTGCTGTCCGGAGGCCATGGGTGGGGGGTGGAGGCCGTGGCCTCCACTGAGCGGCTTCACTTGGACCAGGAGGAGGGTGGCGAGGTGAACTTCCAGGTGCGCAGTTTCTCATAGGTTTGGGCAGTGTGACACTGGGGTGCCGGGCCGGACACTGGGGTGCCGGGCTGTGTGGGAAGAGCGGTCTTCTCCCGGAGGGCAGTGTGTGCCCTGTCTGGGGGGCTGGTGACGGGCGCGCCCTGACAGCCTCCCGCCTGGGGACAGTCTCAGACTGAAGAGGCCCCTTTCTCCCACAGGCAGCTTTGTTCGCGCTCCAGGACCTCTTTGACGAGGAGTATGCGCCCCGGCCTCTCTTCGTAAGTGTCAGCGTGTGCGCCGTCGGGCAGGGCTGGAGTTTCTTGCTCGTAGGGGCCACAGCTTGGCTGGCGCTGTTCAGCCCCACTCCCTGTCTCCCCCACGCAGTCTCCCCCGTCCTGTGAGGAAGCGGAGTGTAGCCGTGAGCACAGATATGGGCTGTTCCCTAGACCCACATGAATTGACCCCGGAAGCCGGAGTCTCAGCAGCTGCCCGTTGCGGCCCTGGGCGGGGGCCTGGCACACAACTGTGGGAGCCGGGGCAGCCCGGGAGCACGCAGGCCACTCGCTGAGGCGGAGGTCGCCAGCCTGGCATTTGGGCCTGCGGCGCCGTGTCTCCTCCGCGGCTGGTGGCCACTGCGGTCTTTTCTCTCGCCCCAGTGACGTCCTCTCCCTGCCACCCAGCCGCGGCGCCTCAGAGCTGTGCCGCCGGCCGGAGCTCCACAGCCGCGCTGCTGTTGGGGACGGGGACAGAGCGGCAGCCGCGTCTCGTTGCGCGACTCCTCTCACCCTGACTCTCCTCTCAGGTCTCAGGGACCGTCGTGGACAGGAGTGGGCGGACGCTCTCCGGACAGACGGGAGAAGCGTTCGTCATCAGCGTGTCCCACGCGGCCCCCCTCTGGTGAGCGGTGCCCCCGCTTCGGGGTCGGTCTCCTCTGTGAGTGTGCGGTGAGCGGGGCGGCTGCGTTTCCGCTCCACCTTCCACGGGCGGCAGGTCTCGTCTCGGGCGCCAGAGAGCCCGGCCGCGGGGCGTCCTCACGCGTCCAGGCCTGCTGGGGTGCTCGGGGAAGTGTCCTGAGTGGCCCCCCCTCAGGGCGCTGAGCCATGAAGACCCCCACCGTGCTCTTGGGGAGCAGAAGCCGTCCAGCGGGCGGCCTGGGCTTCTTAAACTGCCGCTTGATCATGCTGTGGCGCCAGAACTTTTTCTTCCTTGTGAACGAGTGACTTTGAATCACATCGATTTGCATCGTAGCCTCTGAGGGAGGCGCAGGCCTGGCTCTTGGGGCGATAAGTCTTTTCTCCCTCAGGAGCTCACTGGAGTGCGGCGAGTGCCGCCTGCACGCTTGCTTTCTCGTGCGCCGCTCGGTTTTCCTGGCGCCGTTTCTGAAGGGGCTTCCCTTGCCGGGCATGCCGGTGTACACGGCCTCGAGAGCGGGACACGCCCCATAACTTGTCATGTCCATAACTTGTCATGTCCATAGATATCTCGAATAAGAGGGGATGCTTCTGACACCTGCCTGTCGTTTTCAGCATTGGGTTAAACTGCGCTCTGGGGGCTGCTGAGATGAGACCGTTCATCGAAGCAGTCGGAAAGTGCACGACAGCCTGCGTCCTCTGCTACCCCAACGCAGGTACTCCGGGCGCTCTCGGGGCAGGGGCCTGTGTGGACACGGGCAGGCGGGCTAAAGCGGCGGCAGAGAGTTCCTTTTGCAGTTTTTAGTATATAGTGGACACTCAACAGAACTTCTAAAGGAAAATATATGGCCCTGGGCCTCTGTTTCCCGCTGGGCACAAGGGAAACAGCCACTGCGGCTCAATCTGAGAGCTTCAGAATCGGACAAGACTAGTCACGATCGCAAAGCTCCCCCTTGGGGAACGGCTGCCCACCGGGACGTGGCAAGGGGTGGCTTGTGACCAGCAGAGGGAGACTTCTGTCTCCCAGAAAGAGCGATGCAGAGATAGCGTGTGTGGTCACCACTTCCCTTTATGAGTCAGGGAAACTGACACTGTGCGTAAGCAACAATTCCTGAGATAACTGTAAGAGGTTTTCAGAGTTGCCAAGTAAAATATTGATGATCTATTCTGGGCTAACCAGCCTTCCTGGTGGATATTTTTGAGCACTGATTAGTTGTTTCGTGCTAAAAATAATTTTCCAACCTCCTTTCACCAAATATGTACGTTGTAATGCACACTAAATTTTATTTCTGACAAGCAGCAAGATAACGGGCAGTCATGAGACGGGAACCACACAGTCAGGCTCAGGCCTTAGGGAAACGTGCTCAAAGGAAACTGGTGATCTTTGCTTGTTTGCTTTTGATTGCCCGTTGGGTGTGTGCTTGCTCAGAAAACTTGTAGCGCTCCAGTGCCATCACCATCCGGCTAGCGGGGGGCTTCCTTCACGGGGAGCCACAGCACGGCCGCTTTCAAACAGGAAGGGACTAGTGGGTTTGTAGTGTTTTTTTTTTTTTTAATTTTTGCCGAGGCATCTGCGTATTTACTGAATTTCATGTTAAATAATGTGTGTGTTCTTGCGTGTATCCACCATTTAATTATGAATCTAATTTAAAAAGTCAAAGCCTGCCCCGCCACATGTGCCGTGCCGGTGGCAAGGCGCCGCGTAATGGCAGAACTGCACCTGCAGGTCTCCCCAACACCTTCGGCGACTACGACGAGACCCCGCACGTGATGGCTGCGCACCTCAAGGTCAGGAGCCTCTTGGGCATGGTTGCCAAGACCCGGGCAAATGAAGTTCTGACATGTAACATTCAGAAACAGAGTGGCCCCTTAGGAGTCCTTTACCCATGGTAGATAGAAGCTCAGCGGTGCGGAGTCCAGGTGGTGTGCAGGAGCAGCTACTGGGAGCCTTCCCGTGGGCGCTGGCGGCTGCGTGGGAATTGCCACAAGCCAGACACGCCGAAACCTGACTGCCCCTGAGGCCCTCATGCACGCGGGCTCCCCCTGAGGCTGCCGGGAGCAGACCTCTGCTGGCCCCCACCACCTTTGACTCTCGGGTCCTGAGACTCTTCCGTCCATTTTAGCTTCTGGCTCACTGCCCTGCTGTCTGTCAGTGGTTCCGTCTCATGACGCCAGTGCCTGAGAGGAGGCCTGGTCAGCATGCTGGCTTCTCTGTCTCTTGGTTTTCTCTCTGGTACTGCCCCTCAGTAACTGGCCTGTGGCTGAATGCCAGACCCACGCAGTCTGATCTGTAACATCTGCCACGCATGGCCCTTGGGACCCTTGAGATGTGGCCACTGTGACTGAGGAGTCTGTGATCCATCGAGCATCTTTCTTTACATTGAAAACCGGTGCTCACTTCATCTGTTGCTTTGAGACGCGTTATTTTCAGTTCACGTTCATTCAACTCAGTGCGTGGATGAGAAGCAATTATTATTAGCCGGCAAACATCTCCACATTTTAAGTAATATAAAGACTTTCACAGTGTCAGAAGCGGGCCTTTGCCTTTAACCGTAATGTCTGGGGTACGTGACTTTGTGTCTGGAGTTGCGTATGTTTAGTTTCCCTTTTAACGTAACATTTGTCACTCAGCTTTTTTCTGCTGAGAGCTGTAGAGCGTCTCCAACGGTGAGTCTGAAACCTCTTCTCTCACTGCAGGCCTTTGCTGTGGCTGGCTTGGTCAACGTCGTGGGCGGCTGCTGCGGCACGACACCGGCTCATATCCGGTAATAACCGCGCCTGCACCCTGGGCCTTTGTGGGTGAATTGTGCCCCCGATGCTCATGCTGAAGCTCTAATTCCGAGCTCCTTTGAATGTGACTGAATTTGGACTTAGGTGAAGCAGTCGCTCAGGTGAAGTGGGGCGGGGTGGACCGACCCACCCTGGCCACTGTCCTTGTGGAAAGAGGAGGTCAAGACAGACACAGACACAGGACGGGCGGCGCGAAGCCACAGGGGCAGGGCGGCCACTCCGAGCCTGAGCATGAGCTCTTCACGGAGCAGCCTGCCTGGGCTTCCATTTCTAGCCTCGGGAGCGCTGGAGCTCAGTTTCTGCCGCTTAGCTTCCACGTGGCGGCTCTCACGGCCCTCTATGCTGAACCCCAGTGTGCAGGCGGCACCTCACGCAGCCGCCGGTGTGGTGTGCTGCGCTGCACGTGCTCTCCGCAGCCTTAGCATTTGCTGATACTCGGTCTGTTCTGATTTCCCCCCGGACTGTTGTGAAGCAAAGCCCAGATGGCGTAATGTTTCCCTGGAACACCCGATGGGTATTTGGAGGGGGGACCGACCACATTTCCCGTGGGCACATACCTGCCTCCATGGGTTCTCTCGGGGGCGGAATGACAAGGCGCTTTGAGGTCCGAAGTGCTGTCTTCAGCTCTCCTGACGTCGCCACCGTCCGCACTGCCGAGCGAGCAAGAGTATGAGGGAGGGCGTCCGCAGCAGCGGCTGAAGTGGTCTTCCGTCCCTACCTAGCGCGGCTTTCCAGAGGACTGGGATTCAGTGCACGGACGTAGGCTAGGACCCTGTCTCCTTGCTTCTCCCCTAGGTTCACTGGGGTTCTGTTTGAGCCCGTCACCTTACTCTTTTGAGTCTGTGTTCAGATGCAGAATCTGTTCCCCATACAGCACTACTTAAAATTGTTATTTTTTATAATGTTAACTCAATATCACGTAATTAAAAAAATCTTTTAATATCTGAAAGCTACCATTGTCGACTACAGCTTACCTTTGGATCCCCTTTTCATTTTATGGTTCCTTTTTAAAGAGTTGTTTGTAAAATATGTGTGTATCTCTTTTTACTGATTTTAGTTTGGCATCAAGTACTAACTTGGGGGCTAGTGAAAAGCACTTTCACACTGGTCTTGACAAATCTAGTGGCGTAGTCAGGTGTCTCTAGGTTGGTGAAAGTACTAAGGCTAAACACATGGAACCTAAGTAGCCCTTTGGCGAG